AAAAAGTGAGCACACTTAGCTGGCACATGCTGTCCTCCGCAGAAGGAGCAGACTGTAGAGACAGCCTGGAGAGCCGCAGCAGCTGCAGGGGCTCGTTGGTGCGAGGCTCTCTGTGGTCGGGTCACACGTTGGCTGCGCCTCGACTCCGAGGCAGCAGGAGCAGCCAGGTGCTGAGAGTAGGTACCTGATCTCTCGCGTCGCCCGATCTCTGAGTCAAGGAACTCCAGTAACCAACTCAGGTCACTCTCATGTCCAACGCCATCCCGTGCCCACTCCATCCTAATGGCAGATGGCAGTCTTTGTAAAATCACAGGTACTAGCATCACACCATACGCATCACCCTTCACACCTAACGCCTCCAAAGCCCTCACATGAGTCAACAGCTTATCCTGTAAACCCCTCAGAACATGCACGTCAGGTACAGAGGGGGCAGGGATGGAGAGCAGCTGTTGAATATGGTTAAATATGATCCGTTCAGTTCTACCAAAGCGGTCAGCCAGCAGTTTACATGCAGCAGCATAGTTATCTGCACTCAGTGGTAACCCTGCAATGCACATGGCTGCCTCCCCATCCAGCAAGGATCTCAAATATGAAAACTTAGTCACATCAGGTAGGTCTGAGTCGTGTACAGCAGCTTTAAACATCTCCCAGAAAGACTGCCACTCTAGCACATCACCCTTGAACCTTGGTAAGTTCAGCTTTGGCAGCTTCACATTCTGACTGCCAGAGACACCAGTCTCAGACCCAGTCTCCCCCCGAGCCACCACCTTGTTCACACTCGAGATAACACCAACTACAGAGTCACGGAAGCATCCAGCTTTCTCTATATCATCCAACATTTCTGACTCAGATTCAATCATCATCTCCAGATCACCCTGGATCTCGTCCAGTGTGTTGAGGCGCATCTCCAGTTCTCTCTTAATGTCTTTCAACACATCACGATCAGGCTTATCTTCCTTCATGGCGTCGTTCGCACGACTGATAGTCCGTGTTAGCCACCCTTTGGCAGCCACTCTCCTCTTGATAAGTGTTGTTAGATCCTGCGCCATTGCCACAACTATCAGAAACACAAGTTATGGTCTTCACACATCAAATTAATGGCTCAAAGAAACAAACAAAAGTCCAAGAAAACAATCATGAAGCTTCAGCAGGTTTAGAATCACTTCTGCTCTCAACGCAACGAGGCTTCACCACAGTCACGTGGTCTCAAAAACCAGCCAGGGCCACTGGTCAACACGTCCAAAGTTCCGCCAAGGCCAAAACAACTCAAAATGGCCTATCCTTCGAAAGTCGGAACTCGGAACACCAGGCCAGGGCTTCAGAACCTGGGTCAAGGTCTATCCTCACCAATTACCAGGCTTGACTGATCAACTTTTATCACTCAAACTCTTCAGGGTGACAAAGTCAGCCATCAAATCAGTAGGCTAATAACAAACAAATGTCACCACCCTCTCAGCTCACAAACACAGCTGAAATCTTCTGGTCACCTCCCGGCGGTTTCGGCACCAATGTCTGGGAATCAAAGCTCTCCCATCTTCATCACTGATCACAACCGGGAAACATTCGAAATTCAAATTGGGTTTATTGCGCCCTTGAACTTTGACGCATCAATCACCCAAAGGTCTCCCATCACAGACACGGGAGCCATCAAACCAACAACTGACCGCCACGCAGTCACAACAAATCCAACTCAACAATGCAACGTCATCGCCGCACTCGTCTCAGCTGCGCCGTTCACGTGTCAACCCCGCCACGCCGACCACACCCAAGCTATCCTACGCAGTACGCACGTCCTGTCCTCTGTCTCCTCTACCTGTAATTTGTGGCTAAGAGTTGTGCCACCAGGCGGCAGCACCCGTCGGCCTATCGGCCTATAGCTGTCGCCACTGCTGCACCGAGCGATGAGCGTACTCATCTCGGCCACACTACCTATACCTATATTCTCAACATTATATGTACCGACTTCGGTATGCAATAAACATTATTATTATTATTATTATTATTATTGGGTTCTTCTAGCAGCAAGCAATATTTACATGTTCGTAGTATAACATAATGACCCTTTAGCTGGTGACCAAACTAGTTATTCTGATGAATATGTGCTTAAAATGTGCTTCATCAGTCACTAACTTAGTGAAAATCAACACATGTCTGCCTTGGTTGACCAAAAACACCATTGAAGATTACTTAACACATGAACGTCCTGTTAGGTGAGCCTATGCAAGTACTTGATGTAGTAGGGTAATCGGCTAATTGATACAGCATGCAGCGATCGAGGAAAATCGGCATAAAAGCAAAACCGCTTAACATTTGTCTGTTATTTCTTCGCACGAAGATGTGCAATTGAACAAGGAATCATGCAGACCATTCACTTAAATGTTTTGGGAAATATTTTAGCTCGTTTGATCCATTACAGTGTGCTTCATGAGGTAGCGAGCCTGTCTCAAATAGCCCCACCGACTTTCAGTACATCTGTTTTCACGCCACCAGGGTTATATCCGAAAACTTTCTTTCAAAATTTTACTGTCGTTGACTTTGAAATAGTCTTCTTCTTCTACACGTCACGCCGTGGCCGCCGGGGCGGCCACGGCCGTGGCCGCGTCGACCGGGGGGTCGACACGGCCCACCCGCCGCAGGTACTCGAAGATGAGAGTCGCTGATCCGCCCAGCACATGCCCCAGGCTCGGCAGAGGTCCGCCCCACAGGCGGGACCTCATGTGGGCGTACGCTGGGCATTCGGTCAGCAAGTGTGCTACCGAGTCTTCCTCCTCGCAGTTCGGGCAGTCGGGGTTTGTCGCAAGACCGATCTCGTGGAGAGTCTTCCTTGTGAGCACTGATCTTCCCACTCTCAGTTGAGACAGTGTCACCTGCTCCCACCTGGTCAGGTCCTCGTGTCCGGGCGTGGGTGGTAGGTGAGGATGAGCTTTGGCTCGGGCTGCGGTCCACTCGGCGGATCTGTGGCGTATCGCCGCTCGGGCGCCGGCCATGTCCAGCGGGACCGCTGCCTGGCTTAGCTCTGCCGCGGCTCGGTTGGCTAGCCTGTCGGCGTCCTCATTACCAGGGATGCCAGCGTGCCCCGGTACCCACTGGAGGGTGACGTGCTTCCCGGAACACGTGAGGTCATGGAGAGAGGCCCAGATGCTCGCCGGTAGCTCCTCCTGTTGGGCTGCCTGCCCGCGCTGGAGCGTCTGTAGACACGCCCTGGAGTCGGTGCAAAGGCGGATCTCCTTGATGGCGTCTAGGGAGTCGGCCGGCAGGCTCGCCAGGGACTTCAGTGCCTCCCGGACTGCCACCAGCTCCGCCCTGGTGCTGCTGCAGTGGGTGCCTGCAGCTGCCAGACACTCGATCCTGCGGTCGTTCTCCCGGTGTAGGATGATGGCCGCTCCTCCTCCTCCGTTGGAGATCATCCTGTCATTTCGAAAGTTTAGGGTCACATCATATTATGATAGCCTTAGCATATAGTGATGCAATTTTATAACCTACCGAAATGAAGCATCCTACGAAAAAGGAAAAGATCGAATATAAAGGAAATATAACTGTCTTTGCAAAAATGATTTTTGCCAGATTCATCAAAATTTAATTTCCAATCGCATGGCATTTAAAAAATTATCCCTAGCGTGGCCGATTTTCTTCAATTTCCTGGTAACGAAAACTGTCTCAAATAGCCCCACCCTATGGGGCTATTTGAGACAGGCTTTAACTAACAAAATATCCATAATTATTATCACAAGCTGAAGCAAAATGCACCTGTATGAAAGAGCTCACAGGGAACTACATTTTTGCAATTTACATGCTATAAGAAATATGAACCGTCTTAAAGGGAGAGGCCAAAAACTGTAAAATCCGTTTCAAATAGACCCACTTTACGGTACCTAAATACAAGACAGAGCCCCGGATGTCCATGCAGTTAACTATATGCATTAAATATCAAACAGTGTGATAATTAAAAGCAATGAAGCACACTGCTGCCTGGGGCCTCATTACACCAGACGGCGCTCGTTTTGACGCCGCCGGCAGCCCGTCTGTTTACAATTTGCCGCGGTGAAGGCCAGTGTCGCCCCGGCCACCGCGCCGGTGAGCATGTTTTGATCGGTGTCCGTCTGACCTTGTTGAGTCGGGTTTCCTCAGAAGTTGTCCGTCCCAGGAGGTCTGTGACAGGCCCGTGGCGTGACTCAGTCACTTCTGGTGACACACGACACACCAGTGGCTGCACTGTGTCTGAGCGTGTGTCATTGATGTCCAGACACACGACAAATGCGTTACAGTTAACGAGTGTCAAAGAAATTGGTGTGTCGCGTAGATGTGCTCACCCTGTTTGTCCCTCCCTTTTCTTACGTTGTCCGCTTCTATTACTTTCCTTCCGTTGCTCGTCGTGTTAAGTTTATTGTGACACTGTCAGCAGTTCTAATCAGAAGCGAGAGATGACGGTGTGTCACGCGCAATTACCTACCAACCCGCCACGCCACCTGGGGCTGGCATGTAGGTCACTGGATAACAGAAGCGTTTGTCGGTTTCGTGCTGTTAGAAGTTTGTGGTATACTTATTACATCAGACAGAAAGCTTTCGTCGAATTTGTGAGTGATTCATTGTGGTTACCTATTGATCACCTGTGGTCTATGACTCTATGCTGATTTAGCGCCGCGGCTCCGACCAGTTTGACGGGTGTCATCTGATCTGTCGAGTCTGACCAGACTAAGCATTCTAGCCTCACGTTATCCCTTTCTCACGTAGATGTGATATTCTCTTACCCGAAAGTAAGGAAAAGTACTTACCCTACTTTGCCTTACTTTCGTGGCTGGTGTTTTGCGCCATCTGGGCATGTTTGAAAGTTAACGCGTTTAACATAATGCAACAACTTGCATCTGCTTATGCGCGACATAGCAGCTGACATTTGATGACAGGCATGAGTTACACTATATGGTATGAACATTTACCACTAAGGCATTTGTATTTTCTATCGACTGTCGTACCCACGCGCTCCATCTGTCCCGTGTTTGCAGATCGGCGACTCTTTGTTCCTGGACCTGCCGCGTGTGCGACTGGACGGCGGCGGGAAGGCGTTCAGGAAGCAGTGGGGCTACGAGAAGGCGCCGCCGCCCACCCTGCTGGAGGAGGAGGAGGACGAGGAAGAGGACGGCGAGGACGAGGAGGAGCTCAGCGAGACCCAGTCACTGCGCGAGGACGGCCTCTCCCGCCAGTCAGCGCTAGGTCAGTCCCCGGGACCGGGTCACAGGCACACACAGCGGGTGGGCGGGGTACGCATGGTCCTGCATGGTCCCGCGTGGTATACTGGGGTTACTGAGTGAACTATAGCCTGGCTCTTTGCTATTGGAAGTTCGCGGTGAGCTCCCTGTGGCGTTGGAGGTAGTGAGTCAGCTACTCTGTACCCGTGGTACCGAGAGTACGCAGTGAGCTCTCTGTGGTACCCTTCGGTACTTAGTACTGACTTCTTCGCGAGTCCCCTGTTACTGAATGACAGAACACGTTACCTGAGCGTGTCTGGGAGTCAGCACTTGGTTTACAGTTCAGTCAAATGACAAGCAAGCTTCTGGGCTCCGTTGTGAAAGAAGAGCCCTTTAGTGGATCAGCATGAATGCTGAGTCAAAAATGATTTAGAGACACAGCTGTTGGAGATGATCCCGGCACTAGGTAGCCTACCGGTCAGCGCTAGTTAAACATTAAAACTTGCAATTCTGTGTAAATCTACACTCAACTTCATTCACAAACTCCTGCTTAAAGCCGTCTGGAATGTTCATTTCTCGCTACTGCGGTCTATGATGCATCTTCCTAATCCGTCTAAGGCCTGTTTTTTCATACATGTTTCTGCACAAATCCAAACGGCAATGTAACATGATTATTGCTGATTCATCGCCAAGTCTAAGAAAAGAAATCTTGGCTGAAGTCCGTTAGCAGTTAGCACAGCATCAGGCTTTAGCTGGTGCTTCACCTTGTTTCATTGTTTGGATTTGGATAATAATTTTAGTTCTAAATAAGACAATTTAGGACTGCGAGTGGTTAGATTATAGGTCAAGCATATTATCTGGCTCACCAGCTGGTGCACCGCCGCATATCAGCCCGCCCGTTCTGATTGAGGAAGCCACCGAGCCGCTTCTAGTCGTGCCGTCATGGGATTCAATCATTCTGATCCGCCTCGACCGTTTAACGCTGGGGTAATCGTCCAGCTTGGAGCAGGTTCAGGTGGTTATTAGACTTAAGAGGCACATGCCTACGTCCGGAGGATGGAAAATTATGTGTGCAACGTAGTTTTGTGGGCTTTAGTTTGAGATGCTTTCTTGACTTGGGCCAGATAATATTTGTTTGTTTGTTTTGTTGGGTTAGGCCTTTTCGGTCTGACGAGACCATTTCAGAGGCGGTAGGATGATAGGAATTAGGGGAAGACATTTGACATATGTCTGGGCAGGACCCTAGAGAGTCACCGGGGCTGAGCCTGTCCGAATGGACAGGCCGACCAGCCCCCCGAGTACGCTCTGCACCCGGTTACGGGGTGCGCTCCCTCGGGAGCAGCGGTGCCGCTCCAAGGGAGCAGCCCGCATGAGATAAAGGTGCCTGTCCAACCCGGATCGAGGGTTGCGGCGTGGAGGAGAAGGATTTGAACATCCTGAGGATGGAAACGACGGACGGGTGCCGGACAATTTTTGTCTTCCCCAACTTCTTTCGGCACACCTTCACAATGTATGTTTCCAACCGGGGTAAAAACGGCCAATGTGAGCCGTTTTTACCACTTAGTACTGTGTCTTGCGAGCTGGAGGTCGCTGTTTTTGCCGTATGGCTCAGTGCTTAGTGGTGCTCCCAGAGCTGCCTCTATCGTGGAGGTCGTCAGTTAGCAGCGACATCTACAAACTGGATTATGGCTGTCGCTGCGATGGTCTTCTCTGGCTAGGAGCGCCATCTAGACACCAAGGGTGGTGGCGCCCTCTCCACGATGAGTGGATCTTCAGAGTAGCATTAGTACGTAGACTGCCCGCTAGGTGGGCAGCTGGTCGGGCCGACAACAAGCTGTAATGGTGCTAATGGATGACCTGAGTGGCGACCCTTGTGCCAATGGGCTTCCACGAAAATAAGAACGGCGCTGTTGCGCTGCCTAGCTTGGAATTGAGTCGGACACGGAACTGTGGTGCTCAACGAGCACGAGCACCAGTTTTCAGGTGCTCGATTGATGGTCAAAGTAATAATTCAGCCTAAATGCAGGCTCCAAGTTTCGATGAGAGGAGAAGCAACCATTGTTACCTGGAATTCTTAGTTTCAAAAAGTCGACTCCCCAGTGAGATAAAACATGCGATGCAAAGTGTGCCAGGCGCCTGATCACCGATCAGTTGATCGGTCCGGATGTTGGCGGGGACTCTATTTAGAAAGGGTCATTTGGCAATTCCAAAATACCCGTGTCTCTATGGATAAATAAAAAGATGTTTTCTATTGGAACAAAAATAAACGTTTTTCCCGGTAGCAGAACGCTCAGGATATATCACTGTCATGGCACCTGTTTCAAATTGTTGACCGTACTTTTCTGAATCTGGTAATAATTATTCGCATTTTGTGGTATATTTTGACATAAATATTTATAAATCTGGCGGATTCGTGAAAGCGGCGTTAGCTGTCAAGTGTCGTGTATTTTTGTATTGAGGCCGCAGGACCGATATGTCGTGTAACTGATAACGAAGGGGCCTTTTCATGACAGAGGAGCACGGCCCTGAATCCCAAAACGGCATTTAGGCGTCCATTACAGACGCTCAATGCCTATAATTACCTCGTCTCTCTCGGCGAGGGAGGAGAGAGCGAACCGTGGAGGGATAGAGGGAGGGAGGAAGAGAGGGAGGGAGGTCGCTGATGGTGTCGGTGTGCTCACTGATCACTGATCAGGCGACCCTGGATCTGGCCGTTGGACGCTGGTGCTCATGCTGTCTGGAGACGGAACTAATGAAGACGTGTTTAATCTTGCCACTGCAACACTGGTCTGGGAAGCTCGGTGTCCGGATTAATTGCCGAAAGGCGATTTGCCGAATGTCATTTTGCCGAATGCATTTCGCCGAATGTCATTTTGCCGATGTGCTTTTTGCCGACGTGTCAAAAAGTCGAAATGATAAAAGTCGAAATGCCATTTGCCGACATGCCTTTTTGCCGAAATGTCAATTTGCCGAAATGCCAATTTGCCGAAATGCCAATTTGCCGAAATACCAGTTTGCCGAAATGCCAATTTGCCGAAATGCCAATTTGCCGAAAGGTCAATCTGCCGAATCGGCAGTTTGCCGAAATGTCGATCAGTCGAAATGTAAATTTGCCGAAATGTCGATTAGTTGAAGAAATGTCAATCTGCAAACCTAGGTTAGGTTAGGTGGTACCTATCTGTTTACTTTAGGATCGATCATCAATTTACTTTTAGTGCAATCCCGGATACCCAAGTAAAAAGCAAATCACATGACATCCTTTGACCTCCTGATTTCATAAATCATAACTAATAATTATCCATGGCACAAACAAGTTTAAAAGCACCAACACAATATGGAAAATAACATCAAATTGCTCGTGGCGAAGCAGTGCAGTGCCGAAGGCAATGCCTTAGGAGAGATTACAGGCAATGGTAAGTCAAATATTTTAGTGGCCTGAAGCCTATCTGGCTTCAGGCCTTCGGCCTGAAGCCTGATGCACAACCACTTAACCTAAAAATATTTGACTTATCATTGTCTGCAATCTATTCATGTGAGTAACTTCTTCCTTATCCACGGGTAGGCAAAAATCAGTAGGTCAGGTTAGGTAAGGTTTGGTTATGTTTTTCTTGGTGACATGTTGTATCACATCAGGATTTAGGAGCTCAAAAAAATGGAAGAAGGTGTAAAATTTGCCTAACAAAACTGAGTCGGTCCTAAAGCTAATACTTACAGGTTAGGTTAGGTTAGGTTAGGTTAGGTTAGGTTAGGTTGGGTAAGCTTCGGCTAGGGGAAAGTGGGGTAAGACGGACACCTTAACTTTGGAGCCATTTTTCGGCCGGTTAGAAACATCATAGAAACGGGAAACTGAGTGAAAACCTCTTTTAGACATTTTACTTCCATTTGCCAGAAGATGAGACTTAGACCTGATTCAACAAATAAACTGCAGCTATTTTTGCAAAACCTTGCAAAAACCCGTCTTACCCCACCCCATGGGGTAAGACGGTCACATGGGTAGGGCAAGACGGCCAGCTTCTTTCACCGACCAGTACAGCTCGCAACAAATGCCCGAAATTAGCTGCATTGATACAGTCGCTCGTTGGTCTCAAGTGCCTCGGAAATGGCAGTATACAAGATTTGTGCAGAAGGCGTATGCTCGTATATAGGCCCTAGATCAGAAGTCATGTAGAACCGTTTTTCACATTCATCATTCGAGAATAAACTGTGCCGAAGGAATATTGCTAACATGTCTGTGAGTATCGGAATCGAAGATATTCTTATAAGAAATGCTTCTTTTTTTCCTACAGCAACAAAAATATTTTCACCATTACAGACCCATTGGATTCATAGTTGCCCGTCTTACCCCTAACTCAATGTAAGAAGTTCAGCACAATTTTTCTCTGTGGACAATTTGATGCAGACAAAGCAAATCCGCGGTAAATGAACACTGGTGGCATATGAGTGTACCACAAGTGATTGCGAGTTTTTAGCTGTATAGTGCTGCACACAAAAACTTGCACAATACATTATGGATGTTTTCAATGAAATTAGTGTTTTAAAGAAATCAAAATAAAAGATTATCGACTGAACACAAAATCACCAAACTTCAATGGTGGTGTGTAGTGGGAAAGACAATTCTGGTCCTAATTTTTCTCGCTCGTAGCGCTATTGGTTTGGTCTGCAGAAGGGGTGCCCGTCTTACCTACCCTGACCGTCTTACCCCACTTTCCCCTAATTGGCATTCGGCAAATTGACAGTTCGACTAATTGACTTTTCGGTAAATTGACATTTCGACTAATTGATATTTCGACTAATTAGCATTTCGGCGAATTGACATTTCGACTAATTGACTTTTCGGCAAATTGACATTTCGGCAAATTGACATTTCGGCAAATTGACAAATCGATTTATTGACATTTCGGCAAATTAGCATTTCGGCAAATTGACATTTTCGACTTATTGCACGTCGGCAAAAAGGCATGTCGGCAAATTGCATTTCGACTTTAAGCACTTCGCCTTTTTGACACGTCGGCAAAATGCATTCGA